CTGGAACAATGGCTACAGATCCAATGATGATCTTACCTACACAGCGAACTTGATCTTAGTATACAATGCGCCGACTACATAAGGAATACCTATCTACGCTATTCACAGGAGTGTACGGCCAACTGAAAATACAGGACGAGAAATTTGTAGCTGTAAAGCTTCTTAAAAATTCTATTTGCCAAGTTCTAGCTTTACCTCCTTCATACGAATTATTGCATTGTTTCCGATTACCTCACACTGCGTTAACAATCACACGCACATCCTAAGGTAAGTCGCACACCTATCGATTCTCCAGATTGCTCGCAGTGGCACGATTACACTATGCATACGGCATCACGTGTGGCTAGATAGGCTAGCGCGTAAGAAGGCAACTTGCATTCAACCCGGAAGCCTACAAATGTTCCCTTCCAACAGGGTTGCAGCCAATCCGCTTCCTATCACTACTCAATTAGTTGTCATCACGCTCGTGTAAGCCTTCAAAGCCCCTCTTACAACAGGCTGCAAACGTTACAACCTCAAAAAAGCCACCAATCCGCTTCTTATTACCACTCACAGATTTCCTCTCGCCCCCGTGCCAGTGAAACCTTACGCCAGCTTGGCAGCATGACCAATCACGTACTATGTCTCCCATTGGCTGATCATCCTTGACACGACGACGAAACCGCTGGTTAACCAGTACTATCGATCACTTGCTATAATGTTACCTGTTCTTTGGCCTAGTAAACTCCTCGTGTGATCTGGACCACATTGGTCCGTTGCGTATCAGGCGATGCACTTTGGGGTCGAGTCTGTGGCCACACCAAAGGGAAGACTAACAAGTGTGACACTGTGCGCGCGTGCAGTCGTATGAACGCTTTCAGTCATGTCGATTGGCCGGTCTGAATCCAGAGAGAACGCCTCGGCTTTCCTTCAGGCGCGCATTGGTGCGGCACAGAAGTTGCTGGTACTTTTAAACAAGAGCATATTTGGGAACGATTGTTTTGTTTAAAACTACCTACAGGCTGGTAGTGGGCTTGCAACTTCGCCGTACCATTCACTCCGTTTGTCGGTCGCCTGCCTGTTAATCGCAATCGGTGTATCAGCACACTTCAATGGTGTCAAGGGTGATCAGCCAATGGGAGACATAGTACGTGATTGGTCATACTGCCATTCTGGCGTAAGGAGGTTTCAATAGCACGGGAGCGAGAAGAAATCTGTGAGTGGGAATAAGAAGCGGATTGGTGGCTTTTTTGAGGTTGTAACGTTTTCAGCCTGTTGTAAGAGGGGCTTTGAAGGCTTACACGAGCGTGATGACAACTAATTGAGTAGTGATAGGAAGCGGATTGGCTGCAACCCTGTTGGAATGGAACATTTGTTGGCTTCCGGGTTGAATGCAAGTTGCCTTCTTGCTCGCTAGCCTATCTAGCCACACGTGATGCCGTATGCATAGTGTAATCGTGCCACTGCGAGCAATCTGGAGAATCGATAGGTGTGCGACTTAGGATGTGCGTGATTGTTAACGCAGTGTGAGGTAATCGGAAACAATGCAATAATTCGTATGAAGGAGGTAACGCTAGAACTTGGCAAATAGAATTTTTAAGAAGCTTTACAGCTACAAATTTCCCGTGCTGTGTTTTTTCAGTTGGCCGTACACTCCTGTGAATAGCGTAGACAGGTATTCCTTATGTAGTCGGCGCATTGTATAACAAGATAAAGTGCGCTGCGTACGTAAGATCATCACTGCATCTGTAGCCATTGTTCCAGAGAGGAGGGTTCCTAGTGTGGCGGTGCCACGACATTAGTGAGTGTTCGTTCGTCGCCACACCTGTGGGTCACTTCGGTAATCAGTTACCGCTACAGGACCCATGGTCCTGCCGTTATGTTAAGGTCGTAAGATGCATGTCAATCCTGCGTTTCAACATGATATTTACCCTTCACTTCCAAGTGATTGATAAGCTTGAAATGTCAAGTGACCCTACGGCCCTGATATAAGCTGTCAACGAGCATTGCATACGCATAGTAAGCATAGAGTGTGGAGCAATTTTCCTCTTTCAACAATACCTCCGGAATTGCCTACTTCCAACAACAAAATGTTTCCCAGTAGTTGCTAAGTCGCTAACAACCTGTGTCACGGCGTGCATACATGAATGTTTCTAAGACTAGCTGAAACAGTGATCCATAGCAGGCTTAGTGGGCGCCGTTGCCTTTGTAAATGATTGCAAACACATTGTAGGAACGCCCGTGGGTGAGACAACAGTGTTTATCTGTTCCAAGTACTCACCTGAAGTACCAGAGTAACATGCCTGCGTCGCCACTAATCATAAGTCTTGCGTTCTTTCTAGCAGGACGATGTGGCATGTATAAACACCGTAGTCATTGTGGCCCCTTTAAGTGTTACTTTGTTGAGTAATGCCGATTCCTTGAGGAGAGCATGCCAGTCCATTGACGTAATAGGGAGGTTCCATCTGCATTGACTGTGCTTATAATGGTTCCATTTGGAGAGCCACTTGTGAAAGCGTCTCAACACGTATGGGCGATCATATGGAAGTGAAGTCTAATTATCCTAAGAAGACATAGGTTCCTATGACCTATACATAACGCGGTACATGTAGGCGCTGAAGTGATAACTGACTAACAAAGTCTCCTATGGGTTAGGAGACAAACGAACACTCATTAACGTCGTGTCAACGCCACACTTGGAATCCTCTCACATTTTGTTGAGCCATCAACTGTGATAGAAGTAAGCAAACATAGAATTTTCGTTGTTAAGCTTCAGGTTGGTCTATTAACTTCAATGGGAACAATGTCCCCATGATCGTCGCAATAACAATCGCACAAAATTGTATAACCGCCTAGCAGCCATTGCTGTACTGTGGAATACGAGTTAGATGGTTGCCTGTCTACGCCACCATGGTTAGGCCGCTGAATAAGCCACCATTAGGTAGCCGCCAGTGATCGCCATAGACCGCTACATGTGCTGGTTAGTATGTCTATCCACACTGGTTAAGTCTTAAGCCTTGGATAGTGTGGTAGCTAGCATCTCCTCCTTTGACAAGCATCACAATTTACCTATTGGTCGTTTTCAGGTTAGAGACCAATCATCGAGGTTCACTCCAGAGGGGCATCAGGGCAGAACGGAAGGTGGTGCTCGACCACTTTCATTGGACTGTCTGTCTCTTATGCTGGCAGCTTCTAACCGGTGTCCCATTGGTTTACGTCCCATAACCAATGAGAGTGTCAAGGACGCCAAATCAGCGTTTTCAGCCTCACGAACTTGAAAGTACCGCACGCTATTTCGAAAATGAACCACGCTAAAAGCTTGGCACAATACGCTAATATGCGTGTAAAAAGGTATAGTATTTACAGTTGATATCAAAAGTTGGCGGAAAGCAAGCGAGTAGAAGACGACGTAACATTGCAAGGTGATCTCAAAAGGGCTTAAAAGTAGTCAGCTTGGAACATGCTTAATTTCGACGCTGCCAAATGAAAGAGAATGAGCATGTCACCACAGCACCTACGAATATAGATTAGAGGAACAGGTCTTGCAGTGCTTCTCCTGTAAGCGACATGCGGTACTCGTGCAGGATGCTCAAGACAGGTCAAGAATGCAGTGAAAAACGTGCTAACACTTGGGCCTACTGCGCAGAGCGTATGGCCGGTTCCATCTTACCTTCTTTACTCAAATGCTCAAGGCTTACGTGAGGCCGCATGTGGAATACGCAATCCAGATGTGGCACCCCTGGTGAAAAACATGACCCCGCTGCATTTGAGTATTCACAACGGAGGACGATCAAAAATGTTAGGGGATTGCTCCACCTCTTTTAACAGTTTAGACTAAAGACCCTGGGAGCTTCTAGCGGAAAATATCGTCTTCTGCGAGATCTCATACTGGTGTAGCAGTTCCTCAGGGATCTTAACCACCCATGTCGAACGTTATTGATAAGCAGCCACAACAGTTCACTGAGAGGCCACCATTTGAAATTGGCCACACAGTATAACCAGCTGGAATGTCGCCGTAACATGGAACGTCCATCACAATTCTGTAATCTCCGCTTTCAAGAGCTGACTTCAAGTATGACTTGATGATGCATTACATCACTTACATCTCATGATGTATTCCAAGTTGTTTGGGACACGGAATAACATAAGCAAACAGTGTGCATGCGAAAATTCACCGCTAAGCGTTATTGCTCTTACTTGCCACATTCATTTTTGGTCTCCCTGCTTACCAACAAAAATCGCTAAGCGTTCCCTATTTTATCCGTGATAAATCTATTAGTACATTGTCTCATCACTGAACGCATGGGTAACAATTCTTCCACAACTCATGTCAAACAGAAGTCCAATAGAGGCGAACTGAAGCGCATGGTCGACTAAAGTATGAATGACTATAGGCTGCCTAGAAGAAGCGAAGGCACGTTCGCGCGGTTTCCAGGTAAACCTGATAAAAACGTTCAGATGAGCACGGCAGAGAATCGTCATGATGCGGGAGAGTTCAAAGTGGCTTCCTGATCATGCTTGTCTAAATCACCGTACTGTTCAAAGTAAACGACGAAACGTCGAGATATGCGCCGGTGACAAACAGTATTTTTTATGGGAAGGCTAGAGGCAATATAAAAAGGCGTCAGTGTTAAGCCGGGAAAACAAAGAGATTTGCAGTGTACATTTAGAGTCAGATAGTCTGATGCCAATCTGGAAAAGCACCAGATTGCTATCACTCCCTACTGGGACTCGTCAGTGGTGAGCATTCCCCTGAAACATCAACAATCGAACCTGAGACCACTGGGCAGCCTGCGTCATATTCCAACAGCTTATAACACTAGATGATATAGCGCTACACAACATTAACTGCCACGCAATCTACGAAGGCTGCATTTCATTGGGGTGGCCCCAAGAAATCACGATTTCCGCAATAAAACGAAAAGACCGCCTGATGTTTTTATGGACTGGAAGCATATTACGTGACTTATAGTAGCTAGTGCGATGAATTTGCAACGCAAATACATCAAAAACTCCATTCATAAACAACTCAAAGTATACTTGACGATTTGTTAAAATTGACCAACCATGGAACCAGATTGAGAAGCGAATGCACAATAAAAAACACTTAGCTATACAATCTAAAGTGTGAAAGAGCGGAGTAAAAAAACTGTGGGAGTTGAGGATGAGTACGCATTCTGACAACAATATCGCTTATATACAACAAGCAAGAAAGGTTCAGAAACATGACATAACGCGCTGTACAAAAAGATAGCAACGATTAGGTCACAGATGGCTCAATGAACGTACCCGTAAGAGACAATTAATAAAATATGAACAAAAACAGCAAGAATGAAAGTAGTCACTCCTGATTGCGTAGCAACAAGGAAAGAGAAACTGACCAAAGAAGACAACGGGAGGTGCAGCAAAAGTATGGCTACAAAATATCACACAGTGAAAAAGGGAGAAGAAATGGTTTTCAGCAGCAGCAAAAACTGGCGCGACAGTGCATTTCAGTGCGAGTGTTAGGAGGGACGGAAAATGTAAACAAAGGGAGTGCACCGTGACAAGAACCTAAACGCAAACACAAATTGCATGGATCATCAGTTGTTCAAATGCAATTGCCAAGCAAGAAGCCTCGAATCGAAACCGGCAGAGAAGAAGTTGCAGACACCTTCGTCAGACCACGCTACGCTGGTGACCATACGAGTGTGACCCTAAAATAGAAAATAAAATGAAATAAGCACTAGAACATCAAGTTGAACTGTTTATCAACAGTAACAGACTGATGGGGCATGAAAAAATATTTGTGAGCAAGGCCAACTGCGCCGGACCGTCAGAATGTCCACAATTCCGAATAGTCTGTAGGGCCAGGGCCACGCAATGGTGATCGGTTGGAGCCGATGTGGAAAATGTGCTTCAGGTGCCGCTATCTAGGGGGATTTAGCGTCTGTGTACAGGGGAGCTAGGGAATTCATTGTCCGAAAAGCGGGTGATTTCGAGCAGTAAACAGATGTTACACTAATTCAGTCGAACAGACAGGAGGCGGCCAATAGTACACATAAAATCACACAGCTGAACAATAGAAACGGGAATAGTGATTAATATTCACCCATTCGATATTATCTATGGTGAACTATGGGAATTCAGAACAGAAATGAAACAGAAGAGAATAAGATCATCAGAAATCATCATAAATGATATACCATTCCAAAGCTAGTTAAAACAGCTGTGTGCTTTTTGTGATCACTAACGGTTACATGTTCCAGGAGTTAAAACCCCACCATGAATTATATAAAACGGATGTTGTTAAGATAATAAACGATTTATGACAAAATGTACCACATTCAAAGAGGTGACAGTAAATAGTATAGCCAGTAGGTTGCGAACCACTCGGAACCACCATATATATAACACTGTGACAACATCGAAATCATCAACATCAAAAGAGTACATCAGCCATTTGAACTGATGCATCGCTGCCGTACAACCCCGATGAACTAGGAACGAACGGTAACCAGAGAGAAAAGGAGGAATTACAGGAAAACCTTAATGCCCTAAGCAAACATTCAGGGTCAAGATGCCTGCACCTTGTCAACAACATACCGTCACAAACTGCTGGCTATCGTGCAAAGATAAGACGGCAACTACGAGACAGCTTCCTTGAGGCTTTCGCTGCTCCGCGTCATAATCAAGCGTTACCCCGCAGATAACTCAGCACCAAACAGGCAAATCGAGCGTGAAAAGACAGCAGACGCGCTACTGGTTCCGCTACGAGCCATGTCTTGTGAAGTCTCCAGCCAAGCACAAAGTAAATCACGTTGACTCCATCCTGGAAGGCTAGGCGGTCCGACGGCACCGAGTTTGGTCATTAGTGACTTCATTTCCCGCTGCCTGGTAAACGCACTTAGTATTGGAAGGCCTTCTTTCTGGGGGTCTCGGTACAGTTGTGCGGTATTTACGCGTTCCGTCTGCCTTCTCAGTTATGAGTTATCGCCTGCCATCTAAGTACACTAGCCGTTCTAATACAAATCATCTAGGCTACGCTGCGCGTGGGAACCAACGAGTGAGAGAGTTCGTTGGTTCCGAGTAGGACAGTTGAAACACAACGAGGACGTTTATAACAAATTGATCTCCGGTTTATCATATTTTCTTACGCTGCTGAAAGTGATGGTGTAGTATCCTAAAATAGGTCGGGCATACAATCTAAAAGCTAGGAGTTTAGCACCGTTTCTTATAAACAAGAGGCTCATCATTCCAATAGTGTGTTGTATTTTAGCCACAATTTGTTCCTTAAGATTAAGCGAACGGAAGTAGCGCAGATGCAAATCACAAAAAGAATCAAGTAAAGAAAGTGGTAGATTATGCAGAGTTGAACTATCTAATGAAACACAGAGTATCCGTAACATATGATACAGCACTTAGTCACTAAAAAGCTCATCGAGGAATCGGGGCACAATACTTCCAAAGAGACGTCCTTTTATATTTTAGAAAAAATGAAGAGCTTGTGGTACCGCAGTATGTGCGATTTTTATATCATCGGCATTCGTATTGTCTACTGGTGTTGAGTAAAGAATAGGCCCGATTAAGCTGCTGTATATTACACCCCTTGTAATATTCTTTGTCCCTGATAAGTGACAGCCTATACAGACTGGCGGCTTCCTGTCAGTGAGATATGAATCCGTCAAAGTTAACACTGGCCTGTTACGAAGCTTTTGTATAAGTAGTAGGTGTGGAACTTTGTCGAATGCTTTCATAATAGCCATGTGGATTGCAATACAGGCCTTGCCGGAGCCTATCAAAGTCGTTAAATTTTTAAATTGGCTGATGGGTGGTACTTTAGATTTTTTTTGGAAAACACTACTTAGCTGAAGACAGGAAGTTGTTCTTGCTTAATAATGTATTCCATAATTTTGGAAATCATCGTGTGATTTATGGGCTGATAGTTTCTAATATCCTGTCTAGAGACCCGCTTTTATGTCGTGGCGTTCCTATTGCCAATTTCCGTTCCTCAGGATGGATGCCAGATTTCACTGAGACCGTGAATAAATTCAGTAACCATTAGACTTTAGCTATTCCATATGGACCCGGTTGAAAAACGACTTTTAAGACGCCAATTTGGTGCATAATTTTTATCATCTAAACTAATACACTGTACCGACGCTCCGCTGACACGGGACCACAACCCGTCACGCGTGGGCTGAGTATACCGCGAGGACGCCCACCCGTATGCGAATTCCAATCGGTGACCTAAGTAGTGCCAGCCAGGTGCGCAATCCTTTCGGCCACCGGTCAACCTAAATGTTAGAAATAAACGGGCCAATATATAGCGTGTGCTGGTCTGCCGATAATACGTTCGTATTTGGAACAGTGTCAAGGAGATAGCAGTTGAACACCTCCGACACAGCAGCAAGAGTAAGCACATCATCAGGTGGGATGAGATATAATGGTTGGTTTTGTTGTGCACCCCTCCTCTTTTGCAACCATCATTTTATCTCGAACAATTTGTTGACTTTGATCTGTGTCTTCGTGGTGGAGGCGGAGTCTTAGGTTTGCATTGCATAAGCAAGAACTTTCGCAATCGGAATAGTACAGCCAAATCATTTTTGTCACTTTAAAATATCTAGAGTCCTCATCTTGCACACATGTCGCTTTGTGTTACAACACGATTTGTCCGTGAAGTGAATTAGATCGGACGGCAGCGTTTCAATGCAGTTCTCGTTTGAATGACGATAGGAGTCTGCTATGTTGTAAACACATCCCATAGTGGCAAACAAAACGACGTATCAGCAACCATGAAGTGAAAACTTGGAGTCAACGCACGCAGGTCTAGTTTGACGGCACGGGTTCACATACGATCTCCGAGAAAGTAAAAGAGCCGAATGCCAATAATGCAGATGATTTTTGATGGTCCGAAAAACGAGGAAATCAGCAAACCCGCCAAGCCGATATTCAAAATGTCCTGAGCAGTCTTCGAACAAGTGAATCTGCGATTAAAATCACTGTCCATTCTCCCATGTATCAAGTAAATCATCAATGTCCTTATTGGGCCCGTGCATCGGGTGGCCTAGGACAGAAACTGACTGCCATAATTAAAAGTCGCAAACGCTGATGCGCCTCACCAAATGCTGCCCACACGATCGAAAGACATATCGGCAGTAGTTGAAGTTCAAGACAAAGAACCAACAACACATGTGGGATCGCGCATCGAAACAATACGAAGACCAGCATCATCAGGTAAGGACCCAAGAGGTGCGAACGGAAGCATCTATTGTGGCAACGAAAATCCAACATGTGCATTATACGTGACCACCAGAGATCGGCAAACACCCTCCTGGAGTTTGTGTGATGCGCTCTTGTTCAAAGTACCTGCACCTGCTTCGAGGCCTTCTTCTTGAGTCAGGACGTCTGTTTGTTGACTCGTTACTGCCTGGTTTGCTTAGCATTCCTATGCTACCGACTGCGCAGAAGTACCAAATCTGGGCACACTACATTCAGACAATGTGAAGTAACCCTGATAAGGACCCGAAGTGGGGTCACGTACATGTGGTGATGCACCGGGATTCATTCGTGAGAAATATCCCGAAGTCTATCTGCGAATAACCTGGGTGATCGGCGATGTATCACCAGAGAAGTGCATAATAAAAAATAAATTGATCATTGTTATTACAGCTATCGTCAGTGGAAGCAGAGATAAGCAGTTGGTGGTTCTCATTAAGACACGGTAACTTTCTATGTGTTTCCGATGTACAGTACATATACATTCCAAGATGATGCAGAAAGGGAACAAGAAGAACCTGTTCAACAATTAGAAATGGAGCGCCAATCTAGCGAATCCAGTTAGCTAACACAAACGGCTAAATCAAATTAAAGTGGGATAATGTTGACAGTCAACGGGCCTAGCAGAACACCTTAGGAAAGAAACCCAGTTCACACTGATGGAGGAATTTAGACACGCGCTTACGGCGGACGACACCAGTAACACAGTAAGGAAACCAGTATTGATATCGCGGACGGACAAAGAACAACCAAAACATTAACCCCTGAAAAAATGTATCATATGACAGGGACATAGCTGGAAAGGCTTCCGGTTGTGTTCGCCGAATAACAAACCGCAAGAATGGTCAAACGACACGAGAGTGCGTGTTGAATGTGCTGTGAACAAGCTTCCAGCCGAATCCATGTTCCAGACCACATGAACAACTTTTCGTAAGACAAGATCTGACATTACCAGATTGGTGAGTGTTATCAAGGTCAGAACAGCTGCGTTAATGTCGTGGTGATAAGTTAAATGTACTGCTGTCGAAAAGTTAGAAATTGTCAGCAGAATGCAACTTCGTATACAGATAGATGTGTGGGGTGCACAAATGCTTCACCAGTGAAATGTAGTATGGATGCGGTTGTGGGGGAGCGAATACACTCATAATACCGAATGTGCCACTGATACGTGCACCAGTAGCTGAACGGATCACGAAAAGTGGCCACTGACTCCATTGTCCCTACAGACGTGTTTGTTTCATGTGCAGCGTGATTTGCTTCGGTCAATGGCGTAGTTATCTGAACTCTTGGAGTATATTTCAAACCATAGTTTAGTTAGCTAACTTCCGGGATGCAAAAAAATGAGTAGCATGAGATTGGTTTTGAGTCTAATGATGCGACAACAGGAGGCAAACGCGATCGGTACCACTTCCATGTCACTATCGAACGCTATTCATACCCTAGCTGCTCAGTGATTACAGCCGCAGAGTCAAGGAAGGTAAACACAATCGTCACACCAACTGCGACCGAAGACCAATATCCAGATATTCTAAAAGGTACTCGAATTCGCCGTGCTGTGAGATTATCGTCCAGTATTCTTCTGCCCCAACCCAACCCTTGTATTCCCATAATCTTACTAATGGTTCTTTGCACCAGCCATTAGCCCAGGTCTGCTTCGCACTGAGAATTTGTTTCAATACCTTAACTGATTCAATTATCTATCCGTTAACACTGCTGAACAAAGTGTACAAGTTTTTATGTTTACACACAAATCGCATTTTCAGTGATCTCACTTGTTTCAGTTGTTAATCCTTTAGCGCTGTTTGGGCATTTACGTGAGGGCAGCATAGGTTTGTTACATTTGACACCATCGGTGACCTCAATGCTAGAATATTGGTGTGAGTTCAGATCGTGTGTTCAACACACTCACCGCGATTCACAACAATAGTGGCTATTCCCTGTTGCTTAGTTTGTCACACAAAAGTCTGCGAATTATTGCGCGTCTGTGTCAGTGCCATTTTGAAACTATGTTTGTTGGCAATTTAGGGCGATTGTGCTGGTAGCTAAGATTGTTGATGTTTTTGCCTACTTAGTTTATAAGCTATTTTATAGTTTGTACCACTTTTGATACGGCTTAGTTGCTTGAAGTGATACCAGAGGAAGACGCTTTGCTCAAGATACACAAAGCGGTTCTATCCATTATAGGTGCAATGTCTGAAATAGAGAGGATTAGACCAGCAGCATGCAAAAGCAAACCAGTGATTGAGGTCGCAACGACACCGCATGGATGTACCCGTCCATTCAGTTTAAGTTGCCGGCTGCGATAACTACGAAACGAATGCCTTATTGGATGAAAGCAATTCTGAGTTGAATAGATGCTAAGCGGCCCATCCGAGTGGATAATATCATCAAACGATGCCGTTCCACTAAATCGGTTGATGTCTCTGATACAGGTTTCAAACATGCAGTAAAAAGGAGTTGAGTTCAACTAAGAGACTATTCTGGGTCATTAATCACGCAAATAAGGAGACCTGACTGGTAGACGAAGTATGGGGAAGGAGGCAAGGGTAAGAATGCCACTGACCGGCCTGCCGGCTGAAAAGGATGCAGTCAGTTAGAGAATCGAAAGGAAAACCCAACCAAACTGACAAAGAATGTCTAGTTGGTGGTCATTAGTGCAAATGGACCCTAACGAGCAGTCGAACGAAACAGCAGAAAACTGTCAGAGAAGGTCACCTGAGGGAGTAAGGCGAGCAATGTTGAGTCACCTGAACAGAAATAGAAGAACACACGTGGCAATGAACAAGAGTGGAAGCTAAACCACAAGGTTTTGTAAGTTAGAATTTCTTGATACTTCTGAGTAGAAAATAAACGGTGTTTCTCAGGAACAATGACGATCGAATTCATAGGAAACTAAACATGCATGGAACCCACCCTGGAGGAGGAACGAGTCAAACGACCAATGCGACTTCCAGTTAGGTCGAAAAATTTGATGCCTCGATTATCCAGAGGAAGGGCGAGGACATGTGTGAGACTTGTAGCCCACGTTTGTCCGGCAACTGATGATGAGACGCCGGCAATGGCGGCGGTTACTGAAACAGGGTTGGGAGTCGGAGCAGCTCGCGGAGGAGTAGCGGTCATGTTCGAAGACTGCAAAGTGGCCGATGGCGAGGAAGTCACCTCAGTCGCGGAAGAGGCGGGCATCGATGAGACCAACGTGATCAAGGGAGAATCCACCGCACAGTCCCCAGAAAGCAGGCCACTAGTAATGCTGCTTCCAGAAATGGCGAGTCTGTTGATGCCGGAGTCTGTACGAATGCTAACCAAGGGACCGCGGGTCTGCCTTAAGTCCCAAATGCGACAGAAACGATCTCCACCAGCGCTGATTAGACGCTCAGTGGGACCACCACAGATAAACTGCGTAGTAGAGAGGGCTCTGCAGTGAAAATGTGCAGTATAAGTGGGGAGACAACATGTGAAAAGTTAAGGCATCCAATTGAGAGACGAAATAACAAATTTATAAGTCCGAGGTATTGGCAACAACTTCTTGAATAATATGGAAAGCGGTGGATACAACAAGCCCGGTGAAAGTGATAAGAATCGGATATTATGTGTTTTCATCGAGCGCTGTTTCGTTAGTTCAAGTGCTATGACAGTAAGTACATGAGTATAAGCGCGTTTATACGCAGTTATTTCAGCGAGTCATGTCGCATCATACAAAAAGTTCAAATCATCGGTTTCAGGTAGAAAGACAAATAGAAGCCGCCGTGTCAAGAACCCGACCAAGTTATCTCGAGTGGCGAAGTGAGACGACTTTGATAAACCGGAGACCCATTAGGAATCGGGAGTTGTCACTACACACAACTGATCTTCGGCATTCTATTTCGCAGGCCGACGATTGTCATTTCCGCGAATCTCCTAAGACCAGTTATCATAGGACACACTATGAACTAGGTTGTTGCAAATTCCTCTCTAAGGAGTGTGACAAACATCGACTGGGCCTCGGTGAAAAGAAAAGGTAGCTCCTTCCCGACAGTACAACTTGTATAAACGCATCTCCCAAGACAGATGAAGCTATGCAACCGTTCATAAGTATAATTTCAGATGTACATAGAACAGGTGATATCCAAACCTGGAACAGCATTGTACAATTCATGGAGTCAAAAACACACGACGCTTGAAGATCGTAATTGCCAAAGATATCAATACGTGCGTCGTTGCAGAGAAAGTTGATATCAACAAAATAACCCGAGTCGAAAGCGTGGTTACTCGAATGATATTTCAAGGCCTCCAGAGCAGCAAACAAAATATCTTCGACTCAAAGATACACTTGCCGTAGCGGAGCACTAGGAAGATAACGGCATACTTTTCCGAAACACTGATTCTTAGCAAGTAACGTCGTCAGACCAATCGATCGAGCGAATCAAACGCATCTCAGAAGTCTACAAGGGTAACAATGCCAAGTTTGTAATAGAGTTAGCGGAGTTCAACAAGTTGGTCTAGAGTGGAGAGTACAAGCGGGGAGAGTATAAGTGAAACCGTTGTTTTTTCCACATTTGGAGATGCATGACCTGGAACACGGTTCCATTTAGTGCGGTAGTTGCCTAAGTAGGAGCACTGGAACAGCCGCCGCGTCATGAGACGAACTACATCTGCAGATGAAGAACCTCCTTAATCGCACCGAAGCGTGATGGACTCGACTGTAGCGGTAATACAGTCCAACCTGTTATGGCAATCACCTCAATAGTCAATGGTATATTGCGGATAAAAGAAGATGAAGCATGACATGTCCCGCCGGATGAGCGGTTAGGGTTAAGCAAAATAAAGGCAAAAATGGCTATAGGAAATAGTGAATAACCGCAAATTGCGAACTGGCCGATTGCAGTGTTCCTGTCCGTTGTATGTACTATCCAAGGTTATCGTCTGTGATTTCCGGACAAAAATGAAGGTGGGTTGATTTGTTATTGATTTTCCGCTGTTTTTATGGGTCGTTTGGATTACGTGATATGATGTAGTGTGGCCAGTGCACTGTCGACACGTGCTTTGAATATGAATAATGTGAGGGCTGAAATAACAGCTTCTGAGAGGGTATTCCACGTTTGGCAAACACGCAGCGCGAAGAAGTTTCTTCGACACTCCAACCGACTGTAGTGTTCTGCCAATTTGAGATGATGACTTCTCAGTTGGCCGTTGTGGCTCAGCTTCAATAGGTGATGGCAGGGGTTATGAGTTGTTTAATATTTGATAAACCATGATTAGGTTACCATGCAAACGGCGATAACATCCCCTGCAAATGCCAAGCACTCTGAGGTGCTGTTCGTATGACAAATGGCGCAGCCCCTTGATACTTTTGGTCGCCAGACGTTGTGGAAGCACCAAGACCGTGAGATTCCGCTTTAGCCATGGGTGCCATCCTCTAATTGCATATTCAAAGTGTGGACGTAAATAAGCGGTAAGAATTTGACGGAAAATCGACGTTTCGAATTGCCCCAAAGCTCTGTGTAAAAGCCCCACGATTTGGATCCTCTTATGTGATGCCCTTTTGGACTGCACCGAGCAGCCGACATCTTCCTGGATCAACACACCGAGATCCTTTTCGAGAGAACAGTGTTGCAGATCCTGGTCCCCCAGCTTATATGTGTGAACCTGTCCAAGGCGACCAGCCAAAAAGTCGCCAAGAGTTGCTCCCATCTTTTCTCATTGGCCTTAACTTGTGTATCGCGTCCACCTGTTTATGGCAACAGCGACCATATTTTTGTGGTCCCCAGACGCCCCAGAATCTGTAAAAGGATAGGATTTCGTCTTCAGATGCCACGAAAACCTGTCATTTTATCGCACAGATGCCATAGATTTCACCTGGAAGTGTCATAATTGGTCGTTTTTTCTGCTTATCTTCAATGGATAACAAAGAATAGACAGTGGCAGTGCAGTGGTACATTACTTACTCGCGCGTGTATACCGGCTGCGATTTGTCCACAAAAGTATCCTTCATCGATATTCGCCGTTGTCTAGCCATGCGAGTATTCCGCCTGTAGAAAGTCATTACCATCATTACCAACAGCAGCACATCAGCCATTTAAACTGATGCATCGCCGTTATACAACCACGGTGACGTACAGGGTGAGAAAGGGGACCTAGTGTAAAATATTAATGCCCTAAGTCGACATTCGGGATCAAGGTGCCTACACCCTTTGTGAACACTATACCGTCACAAACCGCAAAGACGACATCGGTGAGAGAACTTCCAGCTTTCACTGTCCCGCGTCGTAATCAGCCATTACCCCGCAGATAACTCCGCACCAAACACACTAAACAGGCAGTTCGACTAGGAGACGACAGCAGACGCGCCATTGATGTCGACTGCGAGTCATGTCTTGTAACGTCACGAGTTAAGCACAAAACGGGTCGAATGGTCCGTATAAATTACTGGAGATAAGTAGAAACTACAACATTCTGTGTCCATCTCGAGTGGAACAGCTCCTGATTGAAGAAAATGAAAAAGAACAAAATGGGTAATTTCGAAATCGCAAAGCTGAAGGCATTTTCAATGGGAAAGAATACCAGTGATTCGACAAAGTCAAAAAGGAAAAAGTTCGCGGTCATTTGCAGAACTTTAAGGAGGAAAGCCGAGTTTTTAAACGACTATGAAAATTATGCATGGACATTTTAAAAATAACAGCAGAAAAGCAGGAAATGAAGACATAAACACATTTAGTTGGATAATGTCCCAGCCTGCATTTACAAGAAAAATCCCATTATCTGGACCAGTAAGTCAAGAAGGAGTTTTGCACTTCGTGAAAGAATTTAATAACTCAGTTTGAGATATCAAAGGGTTGGCTGCAACCTTTCATCAATAGGCACAACCTCCTGTTTTGTAATAAACCTGGAGCAAGCGGTGTGCTGCATCGGACTTGATAGCTAAAGTACCCGAAATATGTTCTGGTCAATAAAAATAATAATGAGTCAGCTGTACGCCCTAACGTCGTTTCGCTGCTAGTTCAACCCCATCAGGCAGGGTGTCAGTCAAGCACTTAAATGAAAGTTTAGGAAAGGACGGCTTCTACATACTAGTAACATCATGGAATCACACAAAAAGATGTCAGGAAATGAACTCATGAAACGAGTAAGTTTACCGGACGTCGTGTTCTGGATAGCTGCCTCGTGGAAAGAGGCAGAGAACTCAATAATCTCCGAGTTAGTAAAGCAGGATTTTCTTGTTCTGCAGACATCGATTCTGAAACAATAATTCAAACTGGACCTAATTGCAGACCAGCATATCGTACCTCTTGCAACTTTTACTGCATTGGATAACCATGCAAAGGAATTGTTCGGCTCTCCACATACTGACAGCCCATGGTTGATTCAATTGTCCAAACTTGAAACACAACGGAAAAAACTTGGAAGTTCCTGCCACTTCAATTTTGGCAACTGAGTATGTGCATAATGAACCAGACGACGAGCAGAAACAAGATTCTACAGACGTTCTGATAGCGTATGCATTCACAGACGCACAGGGTGCTGTTGATATTTTTCACTCCTACGTAAGAAATATAGGACTCACTGACATGCCTGAACTTATCATGAACGTGAGGGAAAAAGTAAATTCATGATGCATTTCAACTACAAAGCAACAAACTTCTACACTTGATTTTTTCACCTAGTGGAAATTAAGACGGACAAGTGTGTGAGTGCATGATTTTGTCAAAACTTGTGGACTACGCGGAGTTGTAGGTTGGTTTTAATAATGTCTACTCATTCACTGTAACTTTTACATTGCTATTGCTCATAGTATACGATAGTATTGTTTTTTCTTTAATTCGGAGACTAAAAGTAATTATAGATGTTGTCTGTGTACAGACGTAGTTTGCAACTGAAAGTATAATACACATGTGCAATCGATGATGAGTAGTGTCCCTCCCTGTGCATGAACCTGTCTATGGCAACCATCTGTTCATCGCGACCACTTTTTGTTAGTCCTCTGAGTGGTAAAGAATCAGCATCCCGAGAGGTAGTAATTAGGGGGCGACAGCAAGATGGCGTTCTATCTGTACCTGATGAAATCAAACAAGGTCGAAACGCGTAGTGAAGTGCAGTATTTTAAGGCGGCCAACACCCAAGTTCCATACGCTTTAGCTACGATCCTAGGGATCGAATTGGCTAATGTTCACTTTAATGGGAATAGCGGCCAACATTGAGATTGCGTGTCGCTATCCAATCACATAACGAGTACTTCATAATGCACCTACAATAAGAGTATCACTGTTCAGTATCTTGTAAGAAGCTTAGAACCGCCTGGGATTTCACGATTTCGGAAGGTTTCCAAAATACAAGACGGTATTTCATAGGTTTTGCTTTCGCCACAAGTTTTTCAAGACCAGGTGAACTAGTACATAAGTGGTTTAGCTTTAATAAGAAAGTAAGATAATTATTGTGAAA